CCCTCCCCCTCCCTTGTCCTTTAAACAGCTGTTTGGGGGCTCGATAGGCCTAGGTGTCGGAGCACGTGGATTTGCGCCCTTCCTCGTAGGTAGGCCTAGATTTGGGTGGATTTTTCTGCCTCTTTTCACGGTGAAGCGGTGGAACCCGGGCCGTGGGGGGGGGGTGTTGCTACGAGGTTTGTGAATCGTCGCTTTTTTTTTAAAATTATTATTCATTTATTTGTTTATTTATTTTATATCTTCATTTTCTTATTTTTTCTTTTCTTTCTTTCTTTATTCATTTACTGTTTATTTATTTTTATATTTCTTTTCTTTCTTTCTTCCTTTGTTTATTCATTTATTTATTTATTCATGTGTAGGATTTGTTGATTATTATTATTTGATTGTCTATTTATTTTGTTTATTCATTTGAAGGGGTTTTGTTTGATTTTATTTACTATTATTTATTTTATCTATTCATACATTTATTCATTCATTCATTCATACATATGTGGGGTTTATTTACCTATTTTCTATTATCCATTTATATATTTATCTATTTTTTTCTTCGTATGTAAGCTTTGTTGGTTTATTTCCTATTATTTATTTATTTGTTTGTTTGGCCGAGGCGTGTTTTTTATCGTTTTCAATTTGCGGTAATCTTTATTAAAGTTGCTTCCAGATTCCATTTGCTCGCTCGAATTCTTTCTTCGCTTTTCTTCTTCACTTCTCTTGTCTTCTCTCTTCTCCTTTCTTCTCCTCTCTCCTCTCCTCTTCTCTCCTTCTCCTTTTCTTCTCTTCTCTCCTCTTCTCTCCTTTCCTTTCCTCTTCTTCTTCTTCTCTCTCCTCTCCTCTCCTTCTCTCTCTCCTCTCCTCTCCTCTTCCTTTCTCCTCTCCTCTCCTTTCCTTTCCTCTTCTCTCTCCGTGTCTCTATCCTGCCCAACTTTGTTATGCTATCTGTACATCTATCTATCAGACTATCTATCTCTTTTTCCCCTCCCATTCGTCGGTTTGTATCTGTAATTCGCTGACTCATGAAGACAGTAATTTTCCTCATCTTTCTCTTTCTCTATCCCCTCCCCAGCCGCCCCTCCACCCTCCCCCCTTCCCCCTTTTCTTCTCTTTTCTTGCCGTGTTCTTCTCTTCCCCCTCCCTCCCTCTTTACGCCCCCCAACCCCCACCCCACCACCACCAGGATATTGGATTAGATCGCTATGGGGTTTCGGAAAAGGACCCCCCCACTCCCCCCTCCCCTCTCTCTCCCTCTCCCCCACTCCCTACTCCCCCTCTCCTACTCCCTCTCCCCCTACTCCCCTCTCCCCTCTCCCCTACTCCCTCTCCCCTACTCCTCTCCTCCCCTCTCCCTACCCCCTACTCTCTCCCCTCTCCCCTCTCCCCTCTCCCCCACTCCTGTTATCATGATCCAGGCTTTGGGTAGGATAGGGAGGGGAATAGGATAATAGGGAAGGAATAGGATAGGAAAGGAAAGGGATACAACATGGGAAGGGAAAAGGATGAGGCAGAATAGGATAGGATAGGAAGGGAATAGGTAAGATGGGGGAGGAAATAGGGGAAGACAGGATAGGATAGGATAGGGAGGAAACAAGATAGAATAGGGAGGAAATAGGGCAAGGTAGGGAGTGAATAGGGAAGGATAGGATACGATAGGATGTATAGGATAGGATGGGAAGGGGAGGATAAAGTAGGATAGGATAGGATGGGAAGGGAATAGGATAAGATAGGATATGAAGGGGATAGGATAAGATAGGACACGGTAAGATATAAAG